TAAGTATGGATTAACTTGTAAAATGGTGAATAACATTACAGGATATTTTTAAATGAGGAAAAAGCACTGTATCCTTTCTTTAAAATTTATGTAAAGTCAGGATAAGTTTAGAAAATTCAGTGAAACTTCTAATACTTAGTAATATTCGATCTGACATATATTAAATAAATAAAATAGACTCAAAGACCAATAAATTAAACTAAGATTTTAGTGACCACCGGGTTCAACTAATATTTTACAGGTAATATCCCATGCTGTTTTGAAAAAGTAGAAAATTCAGACCAAAGATTTTTGTCCTTTATAAATAAAATAGCTTTCACCTGATTTTTCCTTAGACTATCTTGAAATTTTTATACCAGTAATCTGAGTACTGGTTATAATTTTCAGCAATACTATTTAATTTTAAGTCCTTGTAATCTATCACCCTGTAGAAATCTTGTTTTCTTTGAGGCTTTACTCTAAAATTATATTCTTTTAGCCAACTTCTTTGATGAAATGAATGTGTAACAAAATATTTCTATTACTTTTTTCCAGCATTATTGAAATAGTGTGCATATTAATATGCAACATTTTATATAAGTTTAAGTGCACATGTATCAACTTGATACACTTGTATACTGCAAAATGACTGTAAAGTTAGCCAAAACCTCCATTGCATAACTACCATTTCTTTTTAGTTGTGAGATATTTCTATTTCTTGAAGTGAAGAAATGTGTCACTGTTGGATTCAGTCTTGTACTGACAAACTTCCATACATCTCTAGATAAAAATGTAATGTTAAAATATAAGGAGTACCTCTAAATATGATAGCATACTGTCTTATTTGAAAGATGTTTCTATTACACCTTTTGTGTCACGTAAGTGTGTACACTTCTAGGGTGTACATGAAGAATATAATGTGGTGCTACATGATAAGAATAAGTGTGCAAGCATGTGTCACCTTTCTGAACTGTGATGGGAGAAACTTTCTGGTACTGTCTTTCTTGAAGTAATAATTTTTGTAACTTTCTGGAGGAAGCCCTTGGAACAAGATGACCAGGGATGCATCACAGAGTTCAGAGATAAAGGGAAAGGAAAAGAGTGCTCTTGTCTTGACTGTCAGCTGTTCTAAAGCATCAGTATTTGAGATACACACTTTTAACCAGATATAAAACACAGAAGTATATAATGGGAGAAAAAATTCTACAGAAAATGAATATGAATCAGGTGACATTACAACTTTTTTCCTGTCTTTCATTTCTTTGATAGTTTTGATTCCTTAGGAAAATCTATAATTGTTTAATTTTTTCTGCTCCATTGTAAATGCTATGCAGCTGTTTCTCTTGCTGTTTTTCTAAAATAAAATAACTAGAATTTTGAGAAGACATCCTTTCAAAAACAATCTACTGCTTCAGAGTACAGAAGGAAAAATATTAAAATTTTAAACAAAAAATTCTAGAATCACTGCATTGCCAGAACAATTTTGTCCCTTAGCATTTAAGTTGCTTATTCTGAATAATGTGTATCTACTGCTCCAGCAACTGTTAAAATAGTTTTGTGAGGTGATAAAGGACATTTAGAATGTACTTTGTTGAGATGGAGATTTAAAGCACTGTCTCCCAGATCATTAATACTGAGATGTTTAGCTTTGCTTAAGAGTGTAAAGGAAGTAGGAGGTTGCTGAATCTTGCTAAAAATTCAGCTCTGAGAGCATTTACCTTTAATATCATAATCTAAAATTATTACCTTCAACTATTACAGAAGGGTAAATTGGTGTGCATAAACCTCTGTGATTGTATTGTAGTGATCAGGCAATTATTATACAGATGGTCCCTGATTTACGATGGCTTGACAACCATTTTTCAACGTTATAATGTTGTAAAAAGTATACACATTCAGTAGAAACCACACTGAGAATTTTGAATTTGGCTCTTTTCCTGGGCTTACAATAGGTAGTCCCATCCTCTTTTGTGCTGCTGGGCACGTTGGAGAGCCGCAGCTAATAGTCAGTCTTGACATCATTGAGGATCAACAACTGGTACCCTTACAACAATCCTGTAATCATATGGCGATTCTGTGTTTCACTTTCAGTACAGAATTTAATAAATTACATGAGATATTCAAGACCTAGTATAAAATAGACTTTGTTTTAGGCGATTTTGCCCAACTGTCAGCTAACAAGTGTTCTGAGGACTTTAAGGTGGGCAAGGCTAAGCTATGATGTTGCTAGGTCAGATGTATTAAATGCATTTTGACGTATGAGGTTTTCAATTTATGAAGCTTTATGGCAGTGTAAATCGAGGAATATCGACTTACATGACTTTCAGTACATGTATTGTAGCACAAGTAATTTTATAAATGTTACTTGGTGATCTTAACAGTTTCATATCTGCAAGAGAGTTTTCCCCTTCTGTATTGATATACACTTTAGTTGTCAAAGTCAAATCTACCATTTTTCATACTTGAAAAGTCTTCCCAAAACTGTGCCAACTTTCATCTTTAGAAAATGAAACTTGTGAATGAGGCAAGTCCAGTTGTTTACAATTCAAATGACAGTATGAATGTTTACAGAGCACGTCACTTGATAACTTGTTATCGCACAGTTTGTAATTGTGAGCTCTCTAGTCTTGGAAAAGTCTTCTGTTTGGAAATTCCTGTCAACTGTTGTTATCTTTTGGAGGAATTTCCATATAATTTTGGATGGTTAAAACAAGGGAGAAATAGTGGAAACTATGGTGCATTCTTAGCTAAAATGAAGAATCTTTTTCCTTTGAACACTTGGGTCTACATTAAAAAAAAAACTGTATTGTGAGCAGTAAAATTCTTGAGGCAGAGGACAGAAGCCCGGATGACTGAGAGTCAGTGGGAGGTGTGGGTTATCAGCAGAACGTGGGGCAGCTGGAAAGCTCATTATGAAGGATATTGAGTGTCTCCAGCTCCTGAGCAAAGGCAACATCATGCCTGGTGAAGGAGCAGTTGCTATTCTAAGTTGCTTCCAAGGCTTTTCTAGCTCAAATCTTCCTTATTGACAGTTCAAAGGCACTTTTCACCTTAGGTCAGGATAACTCACTTAGATGTAGCATTCAAAGTCCCCATCAGCTTGGGTGACTCCTGGGTAGCAACTTCATACATGAAAAGTAAAGCAGAGAATTCAGCAATCTCAAATGTCATCAGTTAAATGGGATAATTTCAGACAAAAGTAAATGAAGTTGGATTTGTAGAAGTGGCTTTATTTTTTTTTTAAGTTTGAATATTTGTCATCTATTGCTGCTTACAAACTGCCCAAACATTTAGCAGCTTAAAGCCACAAACACTATGTCAGAGTTTCTGGGAGGCGGGCATCCAGGAGTGGCCCTGCAGGTCGCCTGTGGCTCAGGCTGTCCCCTCAGGCTGCTGTCCAGGGGTTGGTTAGGGGGCAGTTTCTAGAGGACCTGCTTCCACGCCAAGTACTGTGGCTGCTGGCTAGTGAAGGCTGGCGACCAGCTAGAGACCTCAGTTCCATGCCATGTGGGCCTCTCTGCTGGACAGCTCACAGCCTGGCAGAGAGAGCAAGGGCAGAGGCAGAGGAGCACCCAGGAGAGGGCCACCGAGTGGTAGCTGATCCTCTCACCATCTCTGTGCACTGGAAGTGAACCGGGGGGTCCAGCCCACACTCAGAAGCAGGGGATTACACATGGGTGTGACAAACAGAAGGTGGCAACTACCTGGGGCTGTTTAGAGGCTTCCTCCCACCCTGGGTCACCCTTGTCCACCGTACATGCTTTGGACTTGGCTGTAAATAATGATAACTAGAGGTTATGATGTGAGAGACAAAAATAGGTTCCTTTCTCTCTCCTCCAAAGTTATCATCTGGAATTTCTTCAGGACACATTTTCACCATGCATAACCCAAACCCTTACAGAACTAGGTGACAAAACAGAAACAGCAACATACATGCAGATTGCTCACCGTCCTGGGGACAGAAGGCTCTGCTCAGCGAGCCCTTGATACTTAACTGGGGACAAGACAGAACTGGGGGGTGGACCTGAAGCCAAAGTGAGGCTGCAAAGTCCGGGCAGCACAGACTCAGGAACTGAATACTCAGTCCTAGGCAGTGTCTTTGCTGCACTTCCTACTCGTGCCTGCCTTTCCATGCACAGATGGGAATAATAACAGTCTCTTAAAGGAGGATGGTGATAATGTGAGTTAATACACGTGACGGGCACAGATCAGGGTGCACACATAGTGAGCACTATCACCAATATAAATTAACAGCAGGTAATCACACTGTGCATGCTCTGTAAGGTGATATGATCCTACAAGTGTGTTCTATTTTTCCCTTTACCACAAATGCACAGAATTAGGTAATTTGGTGCATGATATATTAACACTAAAAAACCCAAAAAACCACTAAGGCTAAAAGCAAAGCAACATTATAGCTAGTTAGCTTTATTTTGGGCAATGTCAGTTGTGATGTTTTTACACTCTCTACACCCCAACAGCCTGATTTCCACTTTAGATGCCCTCCCGTCTTTGTCTTTCTATTTCCCATTTATTCTCTGTCCTTCTTTTCATGAGCATGAGCACCTCTGTGAACTGGGACTGGGGATAACAGAGATGGTCACAGACACTTTCTTCTCATTTCTTCCTATTCTGTGTCATCTCTTCCATCGACAGCCTTACCTGAACGTCTCAAATGCCCACCAACCCCATTTACTCTCTATTTTTGTAGCAATTGTAATTTGCACAGCCTAATTTATAACTTATTTATGGCCTGCCTTCATTCAGGTATACTGATGCTGTCTTCTTCATTAGATTTTAAGAGCAGGAACCATGCATTTTAATTCTCCATTTCTCATCATGATCAATGTAGTGAACACAGAATAAATGCTCAACTTTTTACTTCCCAATCGATGTATCTACTTAGGCAGTGACATTGTTTGATCCAGCCATACCTGATGCTGTCAGCTATGTGGTCACATGCACCCTGGTCTTGTCAGCTTGACATTAATGATGTTCTTTCTTTTTTTTTCCAACCACAGCATGTGCATTCCGATACAATGGGCTCTCCTTTGTCTACCTCATCTACCTCTTGCTCATCCCTCTGTTCTCAGAACCAACAAGGGTGACAATGCAAGGTAAGAGACATTTACTATTCCATACCTTAGTCTGAATGCACTTTTCTGGGCTTGGCTTGGCTATCTGATGGTGTCTAGATGCTGTCTGTGTAACATGCTGGTCCAGTGGGAGTGGGTGTCATACATTTGAACAGCTGCAATTAGAGTGGTGTGGAACTTGGTGATACATGCTTTTGTTACATACACAGCTGTTCTCCCCATGGAAGCTCTTAGTAGGTCTTTATTAGTTGGCTTGCAGCATATCTGGAACATTTTGGCTAGTTAAGATGAAATCAATGTATTGTCCCTAAAGTAAGGCAGATGGTGTGACAACAGGGCATGTAATTTGCATATTGGATTGCAAGGGAGAATGTGGTGGCAAGTGGAAAAGAGGCAGAGAGTGTCTTACATATCTAAGACAGGCAGCAGGAGAAGTGGGTGGGAAGTCAGCTCCATCATGACTGTTGATAGAGTAATTGACTCTCGTACATATGCTCATTCAAGTACTGAAAGTGAGTAATTTGTGGTGGAGGGATGGTTACTCAAGCAGTGAGTGCAAATTGTTTGACCCTTTCCCAACTGCTTGACAAGAATCTGAAGGCATAGAAAAGAAGAGTGACTACATTTTCTGAGGTTCCTATTAGGTGTGGTTTATAATTTTATGTGGTTTATAAATTTATGTATTCCGCATGTATAAAAATTAAACCACACTAAGTAAATATAATGAGTTGTTTTTCAAAACAATACCATCACAAGCAATAATGCCTTAGGTGAGTCTGACTGCCTGCCATATGTTTACATGATATGAACATTGCATCAGACCCAGCCTATGTAGTGTCAGAGCGCCCTGGGAAAGGCCACTGGTGGACGCTGCCAGCTCTGGGGGCAACTCTGCAGGAAAGAAGTACAGACTTGGTGGAAACAGCAGCATATAATGACTCTCTTTCCCATTGCCCTTCTTAACTATCACATTTTATCCCTATTATGACCACTCGTCTAGTAATTATGACAGCAGATGCTATTTTTCCTGCCTCAGGAAGAATCTAAATAGTAGCTCTTTGGAGTTGCTTAAATCTTTAGCACATAAAGTGAAGGAGTACTAGAGAAATGTGAGTTTATACAAATCCTCAGGCCAAAATTACATTGTTTATGGGACCCTGTCCACTCTAGCTTCATTTCTAGAGTTTAACATAAAGACATAAAACAGAATAGTTTCTGAAGCAAGTTTGTAACAGACAGGCAACTCCTTTTTCATGGTTTGGAGCTCATGTTTCAGAGAAAGAAGGTTTCATACACGTTCAGAAAAACTACTTTAAAAATGAGTGCCTGTATATATTCCATTAAATTTTGTATTGCATTTCTGTCAAGGTGTCCCCTTATTGTTCTATCTGGAAATGATGTAACTGGGCTCCCCCACTTCATTCTTACAGGACAGTGCCTGACTCTGCCTTCTTTCCAAACCAGCCCTCTCTCTGCCAGGCTGCCTCAGTCCCTATAGGGTAGGATGTGCCACTGTGTCAGAAGTGCATGACCAGAGGCCCACTGCATATGGCCTGGTGTCTGGGGACTGACACTGTGAGGAAGCTCATAGTTGAATATAAAATCTAAAGCAAAAAGTTACTGTCTTCTATGTTGGGAAATATCCTGAATTAACAAAATGTTACAAGTCTAGGACACAAACAAAGCATGGTAAGTGCACAGACGTCTGACAGTGTAAGTGCATGGGGCTGCACCTAAGAGGAGAGGAAGGGAAAACTGGGGAAACCTGCAGGCATGTTTCCAGTTAGTATCTGGGAGCAGCATTGTGATTGTGTGTTTTCCTCTTTCCTGCATTTCAGTGCCAAGAAGCATGACTGATAGTCAACATAACCTCATTTATTTATTTGTTTGTTTATGGAAATGCAGAGGGACTCTAGGAACGGATGTCCCACATGTTTTTTTCTGAATACATAGGACTCACAATCCAGTTTGTGTTTTGAGACATTCACGTGACTATTTCTGGTGGCGTGAGGTGCAGGGCCTCGGAGCCCATGTAGTGTGGATGCAGCAGGGGCAGACCTGGAGGAGAGACACACTGTGATGTTCAGGGAAACTTGGGCTCAGTCACGCTCAGGCTTTGAAATTTGTGTTCACACTCACGTCTCAGAATTGATAAGGAAGTGCCGGGCAAACCGCGGAACCATTGGCAGGCTGTGCACCGTCTTCCCACAGGCTGTGCCTGAAATGGAAGCCAGCTGGAATCACTGCAACCGCCTCAGGAGCAGAGGCCCCTGTGTGTATTGCCAGGACCACATGATGATGCGGGCTCCCCTGACCTGTCACGTGGTGTGAATGTGACAAGCTGCTCCATGACCCTCTGCCCTCGTTTGGTCTGTTGGACCCTTTTTCTCTTGTGTGATTACTTTCCCCATAATTATGTGGAGGGGCCCTCCGAGTTCAGTGGTTCTTTAGCATTCCTCTTGGCTAGTCCTACAGGAATCCCAAGTTTCCCACTGTGGTTGTTAGGACAAGGATGTCCACTTTATTTTGATGTCAGTGTCATTACGGGACAGAATGTCTGAGTGCTGTTGAGGCTTTTCCACGTCTGTAATTAAACAAAGACTTGCTGTAAGGAAAGAAATGGCTGTGTTGTACAGGAAGGAAGACCAGGAGCAGTTGGTTATATGCTGAAATGTTATCAAGTTAAAAAAAGGAATTAGAGTGAGGCTGATTGCTTGGGGCTCAATGCACTTGCCTCACTGGCAGTGTCGCCTTGAATCGCAGAGGTCTGCAGGCGGGGCAGCTTTGAGAGGTTACCAAGCTTACTCCACAAACAGGGTAGCATCCCCTCTGCATGTCCACTCTAGTCTCTTCTTCACTCCAATGGTGCCAGGGGCTCCCTGTCCCCCTGAGAAGTCTCAGGCAGTTCTTTCTAGAAAAGACCTGAGGTCTAACTCCCCCAAACCCAAGTCATAGTTTGCAACTAGAGCAATAAAGGGAGAATTAGCAGAGGCTGGAAGGTCACTTACATAATAACACTCTGAAGGGATTCATCAACGGTTGGCCTTCAATGAAATAACTCTGTAAGGCTTTCACAAACCTCAGATTTTAGAAATCTCATTTTTTAATTAAAAATATTAAAATGTGAAATTATCTTTTTTTTTTTTATTGAAGGGTAGTTGACACACAGTATTACATTAGTTTCAGGTGTACAACACAGTGATTCAACATTTATATACATGATAATTCTAGCTACAAGCTATCACCATACAAAGTTGTTACAATATTTTGACTATATTCCTTATGCTATACATTACATCCCAGTTATTTATTTCTTTTACAATTGGAAGTCTGTATTTTTTTTTTTTTTTGTAAAATGTGAAATTATCTTAATGGAATTGTTCTAGTCAGGGTCCAACCAGAAAATCAGGAACAAGTCTAGGTATTTCAAAAGGAAGGAATGTAATAGGAGGAACTGGTTGCTAACAGGGTTGAAAGAGCTAAGAAGTTCAAAGGAATGTGGGGGTAACCTGGACAGGAGCAATGCATGAGGGCCAGGCAGTGGAGGTGGCACGAGCATAGCTTAGAATCAGAGCCATGTGCCAGTGCTAGAATCATGGGGGCAGTCAGGGAATGTATCTGTCAGACAGGTGCTGGCTGGCCCTCTTAACTCTTACTTACATAAATCAAATGAGATAGTCCACATTAATTGCCAATAAACTGCCCATAGCTTTTCGATGTCAGGATGGTGGTGGGGTGACCATCTTCCTCTCAGTGTTTCCACCAGATAGAGAACACCATTAGTTATTCAAGGCCTTGATTTTTTTCTGTTCCATCCAGACAGACTTCCTCTGATGAGATTTTCTCTGTCAGAATCTCTTCTAAAGTGCGGTGGGCAGGATGCTGAAGGTGACTTCCCAATCGCCTCCCAAGACCAAAGCCCCAATTCCTCAGCTGCCAGGAGGCCTTGTCTGTGACAGCTCACAGCAGAAACCCCCTCTGCAGGGAGCTGCCACCGCACACACATGTGCGTACATGCACACGCACAGGAGGGAGCCCATACTCAGTGATTGGTCAACACTGTGTGCAAAGGCCTCCAGTCAGGAAAGCTCCTGTGGGGTCCTGCCAAGTGCAGAGCACCCCTCGGCTGAGGCCCCTCTGTGAGACAGCCTCCCTGGTCGGAGCCCGCTGTCCTCAGGCCCTGACAGCTGTGGCCGCCAATTGCATTGCCAGTAAACTTCCGTGCGCACCTGCAGGGTTGGCCCTAGAGCGGGGACCCCGGTCCCAGTGTCTGCTCGCATGGAAGGAAACGTGTTGGTGGAAGGCTGGAATTAGAGGGCAGAGGACTGGAGCATGGCACATGAGCCGGAGACCCGGTAACATCCTCGATACCCCCATGTGAGGGTGCTGACCTGCCACAGCTGTGTGGCTCCAGGTCCGAGCCTGTGACTTGCTTTCTTTCGGCCAAGCTCCTTGTTTTCAAATGGGCCCATACTCTCCAGCTTATTAGACTTTGTGAACAGATATAAATTTCAGGCAAACATGTAATTATTACACAAGGAGTACTTATTATTGGTAAATATTATTTAGTAAATATTTACTGGTGGTTGTGAGATTCACATAGTGTTGAACTGGCATACGTGTCCTTGCAGTTCCTTCCCCAGGTTTCACATGGGTGGCCCCTCCCCAGAATTCAGATTTATCACATGTCACTTCCTTAGAGGTGACCTCCCTAACTAATGCCCTCCTACCCCATTCCCATCTTATTTTTCATAATATGAACCAGTTTTATTTTTCTCAACATTTGTACCTACCTAAAATTATTTACGTAAGCAGTCCATCGCAAGAGCTGGTCTGTTTCTTTGCATGGTCATCCCTGCAAACCTCCTCCACAGGATGGATCCTTCTTCTGCCCCTGGGTAAAATTCTAAGCTGTCCATGGAACTCATCACTAGCCCTTCTAAAGTGAAAATGTCCCCTTGTCACTTTGGTGTCCCCATCAGTCTCCAATCAGTAATTCCTACCCCCAGGCCAGTATAAAA